GTTGTGTTGACCAGCCGTTGACTATCCAAAAGTCATAAAACCAACATTGGCGCAGCCTATCGCAGGGGCCGACCGGTCGGTCAACGCCACAAGGCGGCAGCGGTAGTTGGTATCGGCCTGTGAGCCTACTGACCGACTAGTGGGGAGATCCAAAAAAAAAAAAGGGAGAGTCACCAGTACGGTAGCGAGTGGTGGCGTACAGTGGCAAGCGGTGGCAACCAAGGCAGGAGAAAGCTCATTGTTGGCTAAAGGAGAGTGGGGGTAGAGAGAATGTAAAGAGTGGTATTTATACTTCCAAAAAAAAACATAAACAAAATTTGAAATTCAAATTTTGGGCACGCAAATCTGGCGTCTAGGAGGCGACCGGTCGATTGGTTGGTCAACCTAGCAAGATTATTATGTTCTTGTGCCTCTTTCAATGCTCCCTTGTGAATTTAAAGGTTAATTTACTTTCCTAAAACATTGACTTCGTGAAATCTAAAAAAAATGAGTGACTGGATGATTGATGGCATATCAAGTAGATCAAAACAGATCGGCCCAAGAAAAATAATTGGATCAATGAAGCCCAAGAAGGAGGCCAGCATGAGACGACAAAAGTTGAGACATGATGGAGATTATTATTCCCAAAGTATTAAGGATCAGACCTATTTTGTACCGGAATCATCACTTCTAACATAATTAGAACTCCCAATTTGAGGCAGTCTAAGATTTGTACTCCTTTTAGGACTCTAGGCCCAAAATATGTATAAATAGACCCCATACATGGGGAGGGAACAAGCAATTCTGAGCAACCTATATATTCTTTCCATATGTTACAATTTCTTATATACTCGTTATTTTAACGATTGTGTTGGCCAGCCGTTGACGACTCAAAAGTCATAAGACCAACATTGGTGCAGCCCGCCAGGCGCTGACCAGTCGGTCTTGACTGATTAGTCGACCAACCGCAGGGGCCAATTGGTCGGTCAGCGCCATTGGCGGCAGCGGTAACCGGTATCGGACGGTGAGCCCAATGGCCAAATAGTGGGGATATCTGAAGAATAAAAGGAAGTGGAGAGTTACCGGACTCTTACCGACGGTGAGCGGTGGCGTACGGTGGCGAGCTATGGAGTACGGAGGCGACCGGTGGCAACTAAGGGAGTAAAAAGCTCCTTGTTGGCTAAAGGATAGTGGGGGTAGACAGAAGTTAGAGAAAGGAGTGGGAGAAATGAAGGAAGAGGGGGTATTGAGCCGACCACTCTCGATGGACCTTGGGTCGTAAGTCCAGTCAGCCTCATGGCTGACTCTAGTGGTCTGATCGAGTGGGTCCGCCCATCGGAGGTCTTGGGCTGACCACTCTGCGATGGACCTTGGGTCGTAAGTCCAGTCAGCCTCATGGCCAACTCCAGTGGTCTGATCGAGTGGGTCCGCCCATCGGAGACATTGGGCCGACAACTTTGTGATGGACTTAGGGTCGTAAGTCCAGTCAACTCCGCAGCCAACTTGGAGAGTCAAGCCGTGTTGGCTTGGGTGAAAGTCGCCAAGCTTCGAGGATAAGATTGATGGCCCACTCATAAGAAGTCGTTTTATTAAAAGAGGAACGAAAAACATACAAAGCGCAGAAAGTCGCTAGGCTGAGACATGAAGAAAACATAAATAGAGATAGAGGCCCTCTTATTTCTCATATGGATGAGGGGAATGCTCGACCGCCGGCGATGGAGGGCCTTCCAGGAAGAACACTCGAGGGGCGGGAGTCGGAGCTGGGGCTGGTTCTGGCACGTCAATCACATACATAGGCGGTTCTCCGTCGTCGATCATCTGAAGAGGAACCTCAAGGGCCCGCGGAGACAGGGCTATGCCAAATAGGGGAAGAGCCACCCAGTCCGCCTCCTCATCCATCGGCAGTCCGCGCAAAGCCGGTTCTAGTCGCTGGTCGACAAGGTCTGCGGGCACCACATCCGTCATGTCTAGCGAAAGAACGATTGGATCGGTATAAGAATCCCCCACCAAATGACCCCCATGGGCCAACCTCCGTCGCCTCAGCTCCTCGAGGCGAGCTTGTTCCTTCAAACGCCGGGAAGAATGACGGTCCTCGCTTCGGTCGCTCATCGGAGAGATTCTAAAATAGATAAGCAGTGGGAGGCATGGTCGAAACAGCAAAAGCCGGATCCCATTTATAGGGGGTGGCTAATCAATTCCCAAGGCAAAAATCAAGGAAGCTGAATTAAAGGAATCAAAAATTTCAACAGTCACGCGGAGAAAACGGGGGCTGACTGGCAAGAGCATGCGAGATTCCCGCTTGGGACATAAAGCGAGATTCCTACGGATAAGGAAAGATTTCGAGGTGTCAGATCTCCAGAATCACGATGGGCCGACCGCATGGTCGGTCGGTGCGATTGAACCCACGCAGGGAGTCGGAATGCGTAAAGTAAGGCGAAGGAGAATCATATTTTTATTCATTATTAAAAGGAGGGTCCCAGTACATCAACCATTGGGGAAAGTTTTATTTAAAGACGCACTTTCCCTAAAAAAGGACATCATTCACAACAATCTCTCGGCTCGATAAAGTCGGCCTTGATCACCCGCCCCGACAGCTAGCCTGACTTACTTTGCAGGGGATGACGTGTCATCCAGAAAGGACATGTCATTAGAAGAGTCGGAGCCCGTGGGAGATGGACAAACCGAGTCCCAAAAGGCCGGCATCAAGGGGGGAGCCACCGGCCCAGCATCTCTCGCGTAAGTCTCCAGGAATCGAGCATAATCAGCGTCCGACAGTTGATCGGTGGATGGCTCGGTAGGATCGTAAAGAGGGATCGTGAAGGTCATCTTAAAAGACAGTTGCTCTGGAACCGCCACGTCCACGAAAGTCCCGTCCTCGGTAGTTACCTGGGCGGTAGTCGAGCGAGGAGGGTCAGCGTTTGGAGGCGGCACATCCTCCGTCATGCGAGGCCCAGAGGAGGAAGGGCCCACGGAACGCTTGCGAGAATGAGACTTCTTGGCCTTCTTTTTCCCTTGTCAGGCTTCTGCCGCTTCGACGGTGGGGAGTCGGAAGGCGAGCCGAAGTCGATCTTTTTTCCATTCAATGGAGGACAACCCCATGGTGGGAATAAAAGAAGAATGAGGTGAAGATATGACAGTGGAAGGAGTCCATTTATAGGCTCAACGGCGAATCAGAATTAAAGAAAGGAAATCAATAGTGATTACGGTAAATCAGGCGGCGATCTGGACAATTAAGACATGCGCGTGAAAAAGGGAGGATAGAGTTAATTTCGCAGAAGATAGATACTTTCCAATACTCGGACAAGAAGGGCCCGGTTTCGTTAAGTGAGGAACTAGTTGATGGGGTGCGGACCCAACGGGCTTGGGGCCCAAAGAAGAAAGAAGACAAAGAAGGAGCGAAGGTTGAGCCCATGGAAGATAGGGCCCAGCCGTAGGAAGTTCATGAGCCAATAGGCATGAGCCCAAAAAGCTAAAACACGAGTGGGCCGTCGGCGCAAGCGTGGAGTCGGCGCGATTAGGAGGACGGCTCAGCAGAAATAGCCGTTGGTATTTAAGGTCCCTTTAAATTTTAGTCAAACGGGCCATTGGGAGACCCCGGTAACGGCAGCCTAACGGCCCTTAGGCATAAATGGGCTACTTTATGGCACTTCAATGCATTTAAATAGGCAGGGGGTAACCCACTATAAAAGGGAGCCCCATGAGAAGCAATAGTTATGCTGTGCAACCGAATGTACCATGCGCATGGTGCATACGATGCAAAACGACGTCGTTTTGACTAAAAACGCGCATCCCACTTCCAAAAAAAAAAAAAATCAGGCTCGATTCTCGGCAATAGCATTATTGTGGATATATAGTTACGAATTTCTGGATATATAGTTATAAATTTGTGGATATATAGTTATGAATTTATGGATATTTAGTTCATTCATTGTGGATTTTTACTTTATTCATTCATTCATTGTGGATTTTTACTTCATTCATTCATTCATTGTGAATTTTTACTTCATTCATTCACTGTGGATATATAGTTATGAATTTGTGGATATATAGTTATGAATTTCTGGATATATAGTTATGAATTTCTGGATATATAAAAATGCTATTGCCGGGAATCTAACCTGATTTCTTCTTTAAGTGGGACGCGCGTTTTTTTAACCAAAACGGCGCCGTTTTGCAACCGTATGCACCTTGCAAGGTGCATTCGGTTGCACAGCATAATTTGCGCATGAGAATGTAAAGGGCAGATTCCTCCTAGTAAAGAATCCCGAGAGATATCAAAAAGAGACCAAAAGCTAGACAAGTCATTCCTTCGATCATTTCAATTTTGTGTGAAAGGTGAATCCACCAACCACAGTTGTGTTGGACCTCCCTGGGCCCAAAAAACCCTAAAATCAACAATTACTATTATTATTGTTATTAGGAATAAGGGTCAAATATGCCACTGAACCTAAAAACCCAACAATTATGTCCCTAAACTAACAAATTTCAAACAATTCTTTCAATTTGAAGGTTTTTAACAGGTCATCCTCACAAATTAATTATTTTTTTAAACATAAATTATAAAAATTAATTATTTAAATAAATAATTTTTTTAAAAGGACACGGCCTCCATGGAGTGTTTTTTTAAAAAAAAAAATTAAATAATTAGTTTTTAAAAAATAATTAATTTGGGAGGGTGACCCGTGACCTGTTGACCCGTTGGAAACCTTTAAATTGGAAGAATTGTTTGAAATTGATTAATTTAGGGATCCAATTGTTAATTTTTTAGGTTCAGTGGCTTGTATTATCGTGTGCAGTGCGATGGCCTATTTGACCCTTATTCCTTGTTATTATTATTATCTTTGTTGTAGAAATGTACAAATGCTCTGTGGGATGATTGTATTTAATAAAATAGAAAATTAGAGAAATGAAAAAATAGAAGAATGGAAAAATGAAAAACTGAAAGAATGGAGAAAAAAATTGAAAAAATGAGAAAATGGAAAACTGCAAATGAAAAACAGAGAAGTAAAGTAAATGACCCCTTAATCTTACATTCCGTGAACCAAACAACCCCTTAGTCTTTAATTTCAACAGATTTTGTTCAACAAGCTAGAACTTTTGCAACATCATATACCAGCAATAGAAAGTACTATACGTACGACTTTAACAAGACTATTATTATACAAAACTACAAAAGTGATGTTTACCCATAGCACATCCAATAGTGATTGCAGACACACACACAAAAAAGAAAGACTTTAACGTACACCACTGCTTTGAGGGTTATATGTGGCCTGGCTTATTAGTTATTAGCTCTGATCTGCTTAGTTTATCCCCACAAAAGCACGATGCTTAGATTCCCAGTACTCCTTGGCTTCTTGTGTCCTAGCTTTCCTTTCTTTGTGCCGTCGTTCTTTCCAATACTCCGGCAGCCTGCATGTGTATATGTACTTAGTAAGTATCATAATACAAATTAACCACAACCAACTTGATCAGATCACTTGGATCTATAGCAGCAATATACAACACTGCTTACTTTCTACTAAGCAATATACTCAGCTCCTTCATTCGCACTGCGTTTCCAAATACGCTTTCCTAATGACAAATTAAAACTATAATTAGGTTATGTGTAAGTTAAATTTCACCCTGACAGTACATGTAGAGAACCTACTTTTCGGCATAAAGGGCATTTTCGGTTTGAGTTGGCCGAGCCAAGTCCATCGATAGTGGTGACAGAGGCAGCAGAGCAAGCACACATGTAGCAGTATATGTGATTACATGAAAGGGAAACTGGATCGAACACTGTTTCCTGTTGTTCAACAAAAAGGGACAGAATAAGAAGGATCAGATGTGTTTCCAATTGAAGCATGTCCTCCATCTCAACTGAAAACTAAAAGTTTAAGCTGATAGTTGTGCTCAACACGCCCCTCATGTGCCGTGGGTTCCAAGCAACATGTGGACCATAGTCGCTTACCGGGTGACATAGATACTAAATTGAATCATGTGCTCCATCTCAACTAAAAGTTTAAGTTGATAGTTGAATTGCACATTAATGATTATATGCTCAACATTTCCTGTCTCGACTAAAAGTTTAAACTGATGATAACTGGAAAAGTACAGAAACCCTTACTAGGCAGATGGAGCAAGTGAGATCAACGTTAAGCACGGTGGAGTCTTGAAGTGTGACGGAGAGAGAAGGCGGCCCCCCGTCGTCCGCCAGAAACAACCACTGATCAAACAGCTTGGAGTTAATCTGGAGAGCCATCAACTCTAGAGCGCAGGCGGACTTCATCATCACCTGCATATCTGTACATTCAAACATCCTGTTTATAACTAACCCATTATAATACAACACTTTCTCGTACTTCTTCAAGATCCTAAGAGCAGCCTTGGATTTCATAACCCCACAGATTAATGCTGGGTTAATCTGCTCCTGCAAGGAACAACCTGCTCTCTGCTGCTTCTTCCTCCTCGGCGATTTGAAATGCTTCTGGAAAATTCTGGAAACCGGTAATGACTTGGAGATAATAACAAGGAAATCAAGAACTGGCGTGTTGAACTGCTTAACCATCTTTGTCATCTGCTTCATGCTGCTGTGAATTATTGATGAATTTTTCATTATTTCTGTACTGTGGATCATGATGATGATCAACTGATATGATCCAGCTGCTAATTAAACAATAAATGTTTAATTTCCTTTATTTCACAATCAGTAAATTGGAGATGTTGCATTTTCAAGATAAGGCATACCCTTAAAAGATCGAGTGGAATTGCATGCCATAATGGATATACTGAAGAATATATATATTTTATCACACACATGCTTAGAAAAGATTAATATATAATACTTACCCTTATGCCTTATCTGCGAAGTCGTTGTCTTTCCACTATGTTATTGGGAAAGCCGACGAGGAGGGCAAATTATGCTCGGGAACCGTGTCCACCTTAGCTTGCAAGGTGGACACAGTTTCAACTGTCATATTATAAAGGGATAAGGGTCAAATAGACCCTTGAACTATTAATGAAAGTGTAATTAGCCCCCTCAACTACAAAAAGCTTCAATTAGACACTTTAACTTGTTAAAAAATTACAATTAGATCTTTTTATAGGTTACCATCAAGTAATAAGTTAAAATTAGATGACTTGGCATCCACATATATCTTAAATGCTGACATGTAATCAAAATTTACCATTTTATTATTATTATTATTATTAAATGGTAATATATTTAAATAATTAATAATTTTTTTTTCATTATTGGTTGCAGTCTTCTTCCAGTTTGGAAACAGTCGTGCCGCCTGAGAAAAGTCCCACCGGCGGCGAACCGTTGAGGAAATTATCGTCAAGGAACAGCCGCCGTAGTCACTGCGCAAGGATTAGTCTTCGAAGCCGGTTGTAACGCAGGGATAAAGACGATAGTACAAGATAAGATGCGAAATTCACGAAGAGATTGCCCTCGATTTTGTTGAATGACATGAATACCATATCGAGGGCGACGAGGTCGCTGTTGTGTTTCGTGGGTGTGGACGGAGATGCCTGTGAAGCTGTTATTTGCCAGGTTGACCTGTTGTAGGGCTGGGAGTTGAAAGAACCAGGATTCCAAGGTTCCGGCGAACGAGTTCTGGCTGAGTTTGACGACTTACAGCTGCATCAACATGTTAAATGACGATATCTGCAAAGATCTGATCAAAGAATTGGCTTTGATTGCAAGCTCTATCAGATTCGACGGCAATGGCGGGATGGACCCCGCAAGTCTGTTGAAGCTATGATCGAGTCTTCTCAAGGTGGCGAGCGAGATCATGGAAACTGGCAACGACCCGGAGAGGGAATTTTGAGAAAGATCGAGGGTCAGAGGATTTCAGCATGGTAATGGAGGGCGGGACTGAGCCGGAGGAGATAGCTCGGAGCATAACGCTGCCATGGAAGCTTGATTTCAATAATTAAAAAAAAATTTAATTATTTAAATATATTACATGTCAGCATTTAGGATATATGTGGATGCCAAGTCACTTAATTTTAACATATTACTTGATGATAACCTATAAAAAGATCTAATTGCAATTTTTTAACAAGTTGAAGTGCCTAATTGAAGCTTTTCGTAGTTGAGGGTGCTAATTGCACTTTCATTAATAGTTCGAGGGTATATTTGAGTCTTATCCCTATTATAAATATGGAGTTCAAAAATTATATAAAGTTGGGAAAAGGGTCAAATAGGCCCTCAAACTTTAGCTTAAAAGTCAATTAGGCCCTTAAACTTTTTAAAGGTGTAATTACACCCATCAACAATTCATTTAAGTGCAATGAAGTCCAAAAACAAATTAATGACCTGCTATCACAGGTCATTAGGGTTCAGGCCACCTTCCGACGAATTTTCCGGCAAAAAAAAAAAAAAAAAAAAAAGTGACCGGCGAAATTTTCGACAAATCTGGGTCAGTTGCTGGTCACATTTTTTTTGTCGAAAAATTCGCCGGAAGTTGGCCTGAACCCTAATGACCTGTGATAGCTAGGGGTGTAAACGAGCCGAGCCGAGCCCGAGCCTGGGTAGGCTCATGCTCGTGCTCGTTAATGATAGCACTTCTCGAGCTCGAGCTCGAGCTCGAGCTCGTTCGAGCTCGTGAATTGATGCTCGAGCTCGAGCTCGAGCAGCTCGATTGTTCGAGCTCGAGTTTAGGCTCGAATTTGAGGTCAATTTTGATATCAAATTTGACCTGTTTGATTCAAAATTTAAACTACTTTGTTTTATGACTTTTATCCATACATAATTATTAAAGTATTTTAATTTCACTCCCCTAATTATTATTTTTATATACTAAATATAATATAATTATATTACATATTATATATTATATAATATATTATAAGGCTCGCGAACGGCTCGTCGAGCCGCGAGCCTACAATACCTAAGCTCGGCTCGTGCTCGTTTAATCCACGAGCTACTCGAGCTCGAGCGGAGCTCAATTTTAACCGAGTTCGAGTCGAGCGTTAACCGAACCGCTCACGAGCGACTCGCGAGCAGCTCGGCTCATTTACACCCCTAGTGATAGCAGGTCATTAACTTGTTTTTGGGTTTCACTGCACCTAAATGAATTGTTGATGGGTGTAATTGCGCCTTTAAAAAGTTTAGGGGCCTAATTGACTTTTAAGCTAAAGTTCGAGGGCCTATTTGACCCTTTTCCCTATAAAGTTCTATAATTATGAACATAGAGTTCTATAATTATGAACACAGAGTTCTGTAATTGTGAATATAATGTTAAAAAATTATGAACATAGTGTTTAGTAATTATGAACATAGAACCGCAAGGTGGACACGGTTCCACGTCATAACAATTGTATGAGGAGTTGGATAGACATTGCTAAATAAATCAAAGTTGTTTATTCTGGCTTAATTCAATGGTTTAAGAGTTATCTTAAAAAATTTACTTTAATAGTTGGGTGAGATTAGTCTAGTAGCTTAGTTTAGTATAAGTTGGAAACTCAATGTATTAAAAAAAAAAAATAAATCAAAAGTGTGTACTCCCTAGCTCAAGAAAGATATTATTAGAATGGACTCATCTCTCCTCAACTTGCAGCATTTTAGATTAGGGATAAGCTAGCGAATAAAACTATTCGAGTTGAATTCGAAAAAATATTCAATTCTATATGGATTCGCTTATTGTTGAATTCAAGCTTCAATTTTTTAAAACTATCACACTTAGAAAAAATGTCGTTTTCTATTAAGTTTTTTTTTTTATCATTCAAAAGAGTAGTTTAAAAAGTAGAGATTATTTACAACTTCTGTTTGAAAGGATTTAGGGCAGTAGAAAAATTCTCGTCTCTGATATACATGTGCATTAAATAGGTTTTGGATTGATTTTTAGTACTATATGAGTTCGGGTAAAATTCATTCATGTTGAGATATGTAGTTCTTATTTTGATTTAAATTTATAAATAGAGAAAGAAAGAAGTACCTATTGTCATTTCTAATAACATAGGTAAACATAAAATATTATATTCAGTCATAGTGTTGAATATATAGATCGCATGAATAATAGTGGTGATACTAAGATAAGTAGATATATGTGGTAATAGAGTAGGTAGCTGGTGCATGAGAGATGTATCTTCATAGGTGGTTGGGTAGATGATGTTAGAGCATTCATATCAGTTATTTTTTTTCACCGTCTTTTAAGTGACATTTAGGAAAGAGAAAGGATGACAGGAAAAAAGGGAGAAAAGAATAGAAAGAACGAGAAAAAAAACTGACAGCAAATTTTATTTAAAAAAAGCTTTATGCATTAGAATACGTGCTCAGTAAGCACGTGCTATGAACGCGCCTACTGGGCGCACTTCATGTGCTCTACGCGCAATAATGCCTTTGTTGTTTTCCCTTTTCTCTTACATTCTGGGCCCAACAAAAATACATGAATAACAGGAGAAAAATTCAAAAAAACAAAAAAATAGTCTTCCCCCATCAATGAAAAATCACCCTCCTAGTTTTTTACTATTATAAAACTCACAAAAATGTGCTAGTGTGGATGCTCTTAGTAGATAGATAACTCAATGTTATATGTAATAATAATAGCGATTATAAATGAAGTTATGTGTAATTTGTAGATGAATTATACTGTGGACCATGGTTCATGTAGCAATGTGGTCTATGAGTCAATTCCATTTAACAATATTGTTCTGTTTTCAGTTTCATTTTTCACACACACTAGTTTCATTATACCAATACCAAAATATCATTTTAATTTTACTACAGTTTCATTTAACAATATACATTATTGCATTAGCTCTATTTTGTAGTTTTATTTTCCACACACACTAGTTCAATTGTAGTAATGCTAAAGTATTATTTTAATTACACTCAAGGTTCATTTGACAATATATGTTATTATATGACTCTGAATTTTAGTTTCATTTTCCACATACACTAGTTTTATTATTTTTTTGAAACCTTGTGCTCAGATGGCATATAGTAACTCTCCCATATGGGAGGTCATGAGATCGAGCCTCTGTGGAGGCGGTGTTGACTCTTTGTGTTTTAACAGGTTGAGGTGAAATTTTGGAAGAGGGGGATTTCTTGTACGCAGTGAGCAAAGGTTTAGCCTCTGTGGTTCATGTTCAGTTGAGTTATCATAATTTACATCCTCCCAAATACTCTATTAGGTCGAAGTGTGAAAAACTCTTAGGGGTTCAACCTTTTGGAAGAATTGTATGTCTATTCAAGATTAACTGGTCGAGGGCATGAGAGTGAATTTTCTGAGAGTGACGCTACTATTTCTTATGATGGCCTCATTTTTGTAATGATAATGGTTTGGAATAAAATAAAATAACATCATTAGTCGTCCATTTAGTGGCACTGGAAAATAAATATGTCACATTCTTAATTATTCTTCAATCACCACTATACATGATGAGAATATAATTGTGTTGTATTCAATGATAATGTCTGAGAGTACATGGAGCGAATATATAGAGATGCTAGATAGAATTCTAGTCTAACACGAATAATATAGTCCTAGTCTAATATGGATAATAGAGTCCTAATAGTCCTAATACTCCCCCTCAAGCACAAGGTTGGTCAACCAAAACATTGAGCTTGCAACGGAGTAAATTAAAACGTACAGACGAAAGAGACTTAGTAAAAATATCCGCTATCTGATCTTTGGTAGAAATAAAATTAACTTGTAATTCCTTCTTCGCGACTTTATCACGAACAAAGTGGTAGTCGATCTCAATGTGCTTGGTGCGAGCATGAAACACCGGATTAGCACACAGATAAGTAGCTCCCAGATTGTC